GATGGGGTGGGGTGTTTTGATTCCATCGGCTCCGGGGGCATGGCCTCCCCCTCCTGCCCCATGGCCTGCCGCAGGAAGGGCCCTGCCTATGGCGACCAAGAGTTCCTTATCCCCAGTGGCCAGATCATCCCACGGGATGGTTGACATGGAGTCATCATCCTCCTCCACCTCCTCTTCTTCTTCCTCCTCCTCTTCTTCCGATGAACCTTGATGTTGTTTCCCTCGCTGCAACTTCGCTCGTTGCTTCGACCACCATTTCTTCTCCTCGTCATCATTCTTCTTCTTCCTTTGTTCATCCATAGCATGGTTCGCCACGCTCAAGGCTGTGTGCTTTGGCAGCGGCGTGATAGAGTCCTAGAAGACTGACCCCGCTGGTAGCTCGATGAAGCCCACGTCTGGCCACGTCATGGGATGCCCTAGGATCAAGAACATGGCGTTGGCCTCCCCTATGGCCTCCTTGATGCGCTGTGTGACCTCGCTGTCTCGCAGCAGCCCCTAGGCAAGCATCATCCCGATGAGCTGTGCGCCGGGCGTCATCCCATATAGTGGGACGACGCGCGCCATCAGCGGTGCCACCCTCCTCGCATGATACCCCCCGATGACGCCAGCCCCGCAGAGGCCATGGGTCTTCAGGAATGTGATGGCCTCGAGGAGGTTGCGCATCCTCTTCTTCTCCTTGATGGGTGGCCCCCACAGCCATGACGGCGGTACCTCTTCGATCAGACACCCGGAGAAGACTGGCAAGGGAGCAGTAGGGTCATTCTTCAGGTAGAACCAATGCGAGTGCCACCCCTTGTTGGATCTAGAGAGCTGGTAGGGCATGTACTCGGCCGCACGCTACCCCTGGAGGTGGATGCCCATGCATCCCAAAGGCATCGGGGTCTTTCAGCCTCTCTCCTTCTTGATCAAGGAGATGGAGAAGAAATATCTCCACAGCTTGAAGTGGGGCTCGATCCCCAGGTACCCCTCGCACATCACAATGAAGGCCGCGATGTGCTAGATCCCATTGGGGTTCAAGTGCTATAGCTTGATCTGATAGTGGTGCAGAAGACCCCAGAAGAACGGGTGGGAAGGAACCATGAGTCCGTGCTCATGGAAGGGCGTGAAGGAGACGACGTAGCCGTCGAGCGGCGCCGGTGCATCCTCACGCCCGGTCACAAGCCACTCCACCGCATCGGTCCTCTTGCGGAGAAGACCACGCTTGACGAGGCCCTCCATCCATGCATGAGTAACATCGGAGCGGTACCACAAATCCATGGAGGATGGTGGTGACTGTGGAGAAGCAAAGGCAGCGGTGGACAAGCGGAAGCTACAGATCTAGGGCTCCGGCGATGATTAGCAAGAACGGCAGATCCAAACAGCGACGACGGAGAAACATAGAAGGTAAGGCTATGGTTTTGGTGTGCAGAAACATGAAGGGGGAGGCCGCTATTTATAGGACGAAGCGGGGTGAGAAGGCAAACCATCCGCCTAGGTTCACGCGCCCGCTGTGCTATGTCATGTCACCTCCTTCCGAAGATCGTGTGCACGCTATCTTTGGCCGCGCCCTCAAAGGACACGCCGGAGACGGTTCGCTCGGTCGATGGGCCAAGAACCATCGTAGGTAAGGAGGGATACAGAGCTCAAAATGCTCCTACGGCCCATTCAGGCCCAGGAGTTCAAAGGCTGGCCCTTCGACGGATTCACAGCCACTCCAGGCGCCCTTAGGGTGAGGGGTGGAAAGGGATGGGCCCACTAGCGGCCAGTACCCGGGCGCATGAGCGTCGCGGGCATCCCGTCCCATGTTCAAGTCTTGGTCAATTCCCAGTCCATGGTTTTTCCTCGAAGAAAGGCAATGAGCCCTTGGGATCGGCTGAACAGACCCGAGAACTATATGGATTGGCCACCAAGAGTCTAGAGTCGATCACCGGTTGACCCATGCTGGACTCCCATGAACAGGAAACTAGGGCCCCACTCAGACTAGCCCGTTAACAGCTCACCGAGCACCATATTTCGTCCATTGAGGAAAAATGTGGCACGGCTCAGCCCCTCCGTTTTATCAAAAAAATACTTGAGGGATGACAATCACAAAGACGAGCTGACCCTCGACCGGACCACTGCTACGCGTAAGGGCTTGAGGGAAGTTGGACTCGCAAGGAGATCGAACGCATGGTCGCAATACGACAATGGACCGATCGGATCATAGGGGACCGGAATCAAGAAGAATCTTTCCAACCTCCCGAATCTTACGGTTACATGCCCCCTAGAGGACTGATCGCAACAAAAGGAAATCGCCGTCCTACCAGGACACGCCATGGGCTACAAAAAAAGGCCAAGGACCTCAGAGTCCTCCCGTCTATAAAAGCCTCCAAAGGAGTATTCTACTCCTTCGTAGGCTCGGGGGCTACTGTCGGGTATCGATATTAGGGATAACCAAAGCAAGGAAGTTAGCGCCCACGTTGACTTTCCTAGATGGATCGAGACGTATTAAAAAGGTCTCGCCTGACCCCAAGGCCACGGGCTCTGTCTCGCCCGACCTCAAGGCCACGGGCTCCATCTCGCCCGACCTCAAGGCCGCGGGCTCCGTTTCGCCCGACCCCTTGGGTGCGGGCTCTGTCTCGCCCGACCTCAAGGCCGTGGGCTCCATCTCGCCCGACCCCTAGGGTGCGGGCTCCGTCTCACCCGACCCCAAGGACACGGGTTCCGTCTTGCCCCACCCCTTGGGTGCGGGCTCCGTCTCGCCCGACCTTGAGGCTGCAGGCTCCGTCTCGCCCGACCTCGAGGATGCGGGTTTCGTCTCATTCGATGGGGACCCATACCGCCACCAACCACTCTAGGTCCAAGCGTATGGGCCTGGGTGAAAACTCTAACGACAGGGAAGAGGCTGGCACACCTCGATGTAACCCATGGCCATGATGAGCCATACCTAGGAATTCACATCAAGAACAGTGTCGGACGTGAAGGTGCTGTTCTGCCTAATCCTAGTACGGACGCTGACAGGCGCGTCAGTTCACCACGACGTCCGCCGGTATGGAGTGGAACGCCATGACCGGCAGATGACGCATGCGCATGGCGCCAGTGACGAACAGGGCCGTGACATGGAGCCATCCCTGTTGACATCTACAGGATTAACGGGACCCGCATGAAGGAGAAGAACCCGACAACCCTGGAAGCCTTCTTCTCTCTCTCATTCTTCTCCTTTTTCTCCTCTGTAACCCGCGCTTTTCCTTTGCCTATAAAAGGAGAAGCAGGGCGCCCCACGCTAGAAAGGAGGACGAGATCGAAACAAAAGAGCACGACACAAGCACACGACTGAGCGGCAATCGAGCTCTCAGCACCCGTTTACTCCTTCCACCAGAGACATGGGATCCTCTCCCTCCCTCGCCTGTTTGTAGCCCCTACTGCAAACCAAGTGTCGGTAACACGAGCAGTAGCGAACTGGACGTAGGGACGTTCCGCCCGAACCAGTATAAACCCTTGTGTCCTCCGAGCACACCATCCGAGACAGACGTGCAAATACAAATTTACTCGTCGGTGGTCCGAAAACACCGACAAATATGCTCCTTAATTTGGTACATGAGGTGCTGCATGTATTCAAACGCCAACAAATGTATCGGTGTACTACTAGGATGCATATTATCTATGATGTACATGGTGACAATTCGAACAACTAAGGCCTTGTTTAGATGTAGTTGAATGCATATCAATCCACATGTGCTGGGGTGGATTGGAGTAGAACTTGAACTAAATTCCACCTCAATCTACCCCAACACATGTGGATTGAGGTGAATCCAATGACATCAAACAAGGCCTAAGGAAACATATATATTGCTCCCTGTTGGAAAACACAATCATTGAAGAGTTTATTTGCATTTCTTCATCAATACAACAACACTATATATATTTGCGGATGAAAAGTAACTTTTAAATTTTTGTTTCTGGAAATTGAATTTTAAAATTTGGGCTCTATAATATATGTACACAAAAAACTTGTTAATAATAAAAAATTTAGTTCTACTTTGCTATCTTAATTTTGTTCTATTTTAACCAAACTAGCCATGTGTTCAACGCCAAATAATTGGTTTACTGATCGCTTTCTATTTGTTTTAGTGATGCATATATAAGAACAAAAACGGTGGTGTCGTGAACTTTTGTAATTAGAGAAACTACTATGAACAAATAAGCAAAAGACATTTTCTACACTAGGTACTAGTACTTAGAATTAGACACCCATAGATTAATATTCTAACTCCAACACAAACAAATGTATATATGCCCTTTCCCTTCAAATGCAGTTAGTACTTTGTATCAACCAATATAATCCTATAACCAGTCATGCATAATGTGCATATATACGTGTATTGTCTAGAATTTGGATTTAGCCAGACACTTTAGGATCTGTTTCATAGGGCTCCTGGCCCCCTATTTCTGATTCTTTGTGAGAACTGATTCTTTGGCTCAAAGGTGATTTTTGGATTCGCTAGGATAAACTCTATGTTGAAAGTGATTCTGTGCAACAAAGTGAATTAGGATAAGCTACTTTTTTCACCTCGCATGCTTCTAGTTCATTTTAGAGCAGCACTTCGTTAGCACATAATAACTTCTCCGTAAAATACTTGTTTGACTGAGCTTCTCTTGGGATTCAGCCTAGAAGCTGCTCTAAGAGCTCTAATAAGCAGACCCTTACTTCACTGATTTTGAAAGCAATGTAACTACAACATGAATGAAACATTATATATATATATAGTATATATATATATATATATATATATATATATATATATATATATATATATATACACTCTGTATAATACATAAAGGCCAGTATTAATTTTTGTACATCATCAAAGGACAAACTAATGGGACACAACGTACAACACTGAAACATCACACTCCTAGCTCGCTAGTGATCGACAAGATCACAAACATACAAATATAAAAATATTACACCATTATACACACAAGTACGTACAGAACGTGCTTGTTACTGGGGCGACAGCGACGAATGCATGCAGTCGCGATCATGGCTTGGTCTCTGGCACCGGGTAGTGGCTCTCGGGCTTCGGTGGCAGCTCATGCTTTGGCACCTCCGGCACTTCCGGGTAGGGCAGCTCTGGCACCGTGGGGTGAGGAGGCAGCTCAGGCTTCGGCAGCTCCGGCACGGTGGGGTGCGCCGGCAGCTCGGGCTTTGGCAGCTCCGGGACGGCGGGGTGAGGAGGCAGCTCGGGCTTCGGCAGCTCTGGAACGGCGGGGTGCTCCGGTACCTCAGGCTTGGGCAGTTCAGGCACGGCAGCTGGGTGAGAAGGCAGCTCGGGCTTGGGCAACTCCGGCAAGTGCTCAGCAGGTACCTCAGGCTTGGGCAGCTCAGTGGGGTGAGGGGGCAGCTCTGGATGTGCTGGCACCTCGGGTTTCGGCAGCTCCGGCACCGTGGGGTGCGGCGGCAGCTCGGGTTTTGGCAGCTCTGCCGGCGTGGCAGGGTACGGGTACTCTTCCTTGGGCGCCTCCTCCTCCAGCAACCGCGCCGCGCGGCTAATGCCGCTGCACGAGAGCACCAGAGCCATGAGGAGGACAAGGGAAGGCATCATCATGGTGCTCTTGGCAGCCATGACACCTCTTGTGCGTGAGCTTTGTGTACTGCCTCGTGTCAAGTTCAAGTATCGATCAGTAGAGCGAACTAGATCGTTGTGTGATGGCTGGAAGGGGTGAGAGAAGCATGCTATTTATAGTGCGATGCTGAACTACGCATGTGACCAGGGATCGTCTATCAGGTGAGCCGTGAGCGTTTACTGGAGCCATGCATATCTTGTATGTTGCCGTTGGTAGCAGCTGGTAGGTCATCTGCATCCCCGTGGTTGTTAAGATTTGGTCCTTAATTCGTCCCTCTGATCTCCATGCTGATTTCCTGCTTGTGTGGTTTGATCGGTTGAGAATATACATACTGAGAACTGATCGATCTGATTGGTTGGAGTAGCTGCACCTTTTTTCTTTTGAAATGAAAGCACATGTTTCTTTGGCGACATGTACGTGTTCGATGTGTCTCGTACTCTCATCGACTGAATAATGTGTTTGCAAGGACAAGACTGAAAAACGTACAGTTTAGCATGAGCTATATAAGTCCACGCTGATGACGTTCCTGGTTTCGTAGCAGTTGTCAATTTAGTTGAAAATTACTACTACGGTGTGAAATGTTCAAAAGGCGTTGCTGCTTTTTTTTAGATATAAAGGAACAAAACTTCTCAGCCTCTACATTCCAAAAAAGGTATGCAGCCTAAACGTTACAATGAAGAGCATTGAAGCTCGACTGTCACATGAGAGAAGAAAACTAAAACAAACTCTTGTGAGGAAACGGTGGTACATCTGTTCCTCCACTGTCAGTTTGCCAAGGTTTGCTGGAATCTTGTGGGTATTCAAATTCCAAATTCAGTGGACCCTTTGTAGATTCTGGAAAGTCTCAAATCCCAACTCAACGTCTCCTTTTCCATGGAGATCATTGTCTTGATGTGCTGGAGCATTTGGTCTGTCAGAAATAACTTCATTTTCAGAGGTGAAGCAGCATCACTAGAAAGATGCAAGCGCTGCTTTAAAGAAGTCTTCGGCCTAGTTATTCTTCGGGCGAAGAAGAAGAACTTTCCTTTAATTATTTCATGGCTAGAGCAGTTTGTGTAATCTACCTCATTTTCTTTCTCTCCTTTTTTTTTCCTGAACTCCTGGCTATCTTTCCCCCTCTCCTTGTTGCATGCCTGTACTCTGTTTGGTTGTTTTAATATATTTTTCAGTAGGGATCAGCCTCTGCCTCAATTCTATTCCAGAACTTCCATCCAAATTCTATTCTTTGGAAATTAAAAAAGGCGTTGCTGCTTTGCTTTCATATATGCTTGAGTAGCGGCCATTTTTCGAATAACTAGAACTGCTTATTACATGTGTAAACGGCTTATATGGTACATTAACTAGAAAGATACCCCGCGCGTTACCGCGGAACTTTCTTAAAAATAAAAAATTCTTGCATGTATGAATTAAACATATATATTCTTACATCTATTCTTACCAAAATTAGAGAAGGCAAGGAAAGAATCCTATAAAAAACTAACAGAATTAGATCAAATTATAAGAGAATGGAATGGCAAAGCAAATAGTAATTTATGAATGCCTCTATATTTCTTATTTGTTGAAATTAAATTGTGCTTAGTGGAGATGGTGTGAACAGCTTGCATTAAGAGATTAAAAATTTGTGGGATGACATGGCTATTAGTGGGAGGTGATGTGGATAGGTTGTGGGAAGATGTGGATATCTTACATGTTGAGATAAAACTTATAGTGGGGTTTAGCTTTATAAGAGATATAGATTAGTGGTTAGCAGCCTTTCTCAGTTGCTTCAGCAGTTGCTTTATGAACTAGTGGCATGTTGTACATTTGCCCTTAGAACTGAGATTATTGATGTCATTAACCTGTACTGAATTATTCTCTCTCTCTCTCTCTCTCTCTCTCTCTCTCTCTCTCTCTCTCTCTCTCTCTCTTTGTGGAGTTTTAGTGCAGATATTTTACACCTAACCATTATTGCTCGAACATTCAAATCTCATACTATCAGTATATAGCTGGTTAATTTTTTCTGCTAAAAAAAGTATATACTCCGTAGCTGATTTTGGTTTAAATTCATGTATTCACATTTCGGTGGGATAGCGTCGTGAATCTCATATTAAGCACATCCAAACTGATTTTTGTTTAAATTTGCATGTTCACATTTAGTGCGATAGCGTGTGCTTTGTTACATGATGTATTGCATTGAATTAAACCTCTTGGAATTCACGTGCTCGCGGATGTGGGCTTGGTGAGATGGTGTGAATTGTCAAAGAAATATATTTTGGGCTCTTAAAATGTAATTTTTGAATAATTGCATTTGCAATTAATTTTTCATTAGGGGCAACATTTTTTGTAATTATATTAGTGGTAATAGAATGCATCTTATTTTATTGTCTGGCTTCGATGATAACTATATGTGGTGATGTTATTTGATCAAGGCTAACATTTTTTTACAAGATATGACTTTTAAATAATGCTTCATATTTCTTTTCTTTAGCTTCGGTAAAAAGAAGTTGAGTGGCATTCGATTCCCACAAAAAACTCTTTTCATGTTTCTGGAAAACTTGCTTTTGCTACATGAAACAAACTATGTATTGATGTCTCCAGACTTGAAACAGGTGTGTTTGTACTTTGTACTATGTGCCGGTAACGAATTAAGAACAAACATTACATATATTTCGGTAGGGATGATTAGGAAAATGAAGTGAGGAAGGACAATTTGTACAGGCATATATCTATCATTGATCCCTTAAGTTGATCAATGTAAGGTATTAATTTCCTGGTTATATATAAACAAAATTTATGCTAAATTCAAGGTCGTGGCACATACATATTGAACCACATATATTAACATATGCCGGCTGTATGTGTGCAGAATTAATTCATAGATCCCTATTATATATAGAAGACAAAATAGCATAAGTAATATATACGAAAACCATATCAATATACATGTATATATGGTACACCAAAGGCAATAGATACGTACGTACATCTCAAAGCAGCACAACGTACAACACTGAACGTCACACTACTCCTACACCATACACATAGGCACTAGTACAACACATATTTATTCTTGAGACAACAGTGATGACGTAGTTCGATCATGGCTTGGCCTCTGGCACCGGGTAGTGGCTCTCCTCCGGCTTGGGTGGTAGCTCAGGCTCCGGCAGAGGCGGAAGGTCATGCTTTGGCACCTCAGGCACTTCTGGTACGGTGGGGTGTGGCGGCAGTTCAGGCTTTGGCACCTCCGGGTGCGGCAGCTCAGGCTTTGGAACCTCCGGCACAGCCGGATGGGGCAGCTCTGGCTTCGGAACCTCCGGTGCAACAGGGTGGGGCAGCTCGGGTTTTGGCACCTCAGGGACGGCAGGGTGCGGTAGCTCCGGCACAGCGGGGTGCGGCAGTTCAGGCTTTGGGTGCTCTGGCACAGTAGGGTGCGGTGGCAGTTCAGGCTTGGGCAGCTCCGGCACGGTAGGGTGTGGAGGCAGCTCAGGCTTCGGGAGTTCTGGCACGGTGGGGTGAGGTGGCAGCTCAGGCTTGGGCAACTCCGGCACGGTGGGATGCGGTGGCAGTTCTGGCTTGGGGATCTCCGGCGCGGTCGGATGAGGCGGGTACTCCTCTGCAGGCTTCGTCTCCTCCAGGTACCGTGCCGCGCTGCTCATGGTGCTGCAAGAGAGCAGCAGTGCCATGAGGAAGGCGAGCGAGGACATGGTTCTCTTGGAAACCATATCCAATGGCTTATGCTTCTGTGCTGCTGCAATCTCTCTCTCTCTCTCTCTCTCTCTCTCTCTCTCTCTCTCTCACACACACACACACACACACACTAGATAGCTGGTTAGTTCGTCTTGTGATGCCTGGAAGAGAAGTGCGGTATGCTATTTATAGTTGCTAAACGAAGCTAGGCTTTGTTGCAGGCATGATTGCATATACATACATGCGTGTGCAAGAGGGAGTCTGACATTTGGTGCCACACCGTGGCAGCCTGACACGTAGGAGTATGGTAGGTCATCTGCATTTTTCCCCTGAAACCTCTAGCAAGGTCATCCGCTCAACTAGTGTCTAGTGTCCGTGTGATCTCTAGCTAGCTAGTTCTCTACTGCCTGTGTCTGGTTAAAATCAGTGTTGAGAATGCCCCGGAAATATGTGTGATCTGGTTGGTGGATGCTCTACCTTTACGGGCCTTACTGTGGTGTTTGGTGCATGCCTTGCCTTCGATCTGTGGTTAGGCTACCGAATATATACCGCAAAGTGATCATGCTGCCGTGCATGTGAAGAACAGTAGATAGCTGAGATCGATACAGAGAACATGCATCTATCTGAAAACTAAAGCTGACGAATCGAAACGATTGGTGTTGGTAGTTCATAGAGTTGAAAACGACGACAGCCCTAAAATAAGATAGTACCTGCAACGTACGACAATCAGTACATAGCAGGACATAAACCAGGAAAAATGGGGGAAAAATAGTTAATACTAACCAGCTTTCTCTCTCAGATGGTCAAGGACACCTCGATCGCAAGAGTCGTCCTTACAGACCACCTGGCCATAAAACGGCCGGATTCGTGGTAGCTCAGCTGCTGCGCGTGGTATGGTCGTTTTCGTTATCCTTTTAATTAGGATCAGTACGTGTACGTAGATCGTCTCGTGTCCTAGAAGAGACGAGCTATATATAGGTAAGGTGACCGATTGTTCCGGTCGGTGATGGATCGAGCGCGCTTTCGCGTAGCAGCGTTCAGCAGGCATTAGGTCACCGGCTCACCGCCAAGCGCAGTACGGTCAAATGCAGACATGCTACCTCGTTCGTCCTCTTATTAAGGCCCAGGAACACCGACGATGACACGTCGGAAATGGAATAACAGTAAGCGTGAGACACGTCAGATATAGTATATCGTCTCGACATGGTAGTTTCTTGAGAAATACAAAGTACAACGTATATGCTCACAACACGTACGCACACTCACACCTATGAACACTCGTACGCAAACCCCACCCCTATGTAGTTGTTCGGACGATGCAAGATCATATCCA